CATCGCCACTCTAAAAAAATCAGAGGAAGAAAAACTTCTGGAGATAAACAAGCGAATAACTAAAGACCTAGAAAAGAAAACTAAGGCCTTAAAAGAATCCGAGGCAGAGAGACTTAACTCAGTAGCTCTCAAAGACTTCTTTCAAAAAGAAAGGGAGGTTCTTCACCAGAAGCTTCAAAACAATGAACTGATGAAAAAATACAGGGATGCCCAAAATGTTTATGAAAAGTTAAACGGTCAAATAGACACTCAAGGGATTGGATTCAATGATTTGGACTCCTTCATCGAATCAAAGAAATCCACCATTGAATCGACTTTCAAACTTGGATGCATTCAAAAACCTGACTTTTTTCCCGAAACCAAAAGCAAATTTTAAAAGAGTTAAAGTCGATGGAAAAACTGTCGTTTTAAGACAGAATTTTGAAAGCGTGGTGTACGAGAGAAGTACATGTAAGAATACTGATGAAAGGAACGACGCCTCCAAATCAGAGACCGATGAAAACCATAGGGTTAAATCAGAGTCTCTGATTGTCAATCCCACTTCATCAGCAAGTATTGTTGATGAAAAGTAGAATCCTAATGAGGAACCATCAGTTGTTGAATCGATGAACCATCCAAGTAACATTGGAAGTTCATCTAATTCAGAAACGATGGAACCTCCAGTAGATCACTCTGAAGCATCAACCTCTGAACCCACACCTCCCACGAACATCCATGCTAATTTTGRTTTCGAGAAATCAACGAGAGACTTTCTCGATTCTGAATCTGAAGAGGAGATAATCTGTGAATCACCAAAAATCATTAAGAATAAGAAGCCTCAAAACTTCAAACCCTCAATGAAATCTTGTATTTCACCATCGATGAAATCTTCAGACAAAGGAAAGGGAAAACTGAGAAATATCCAATCTGGCAACGATAACTCAAAAGGCCCTAGTATATCTTCTAAGTACATTAAGTTTACTCGTGAGCAAAAACAGAAGTGGCCTGCCTCTGAGAAATCTAACCACTGTTGAAACCCAGATCTGACAATAGAACAATTTAATAAGGAAATTCAAGAGAAATTTGTAGAAGAAGAAGATGAAATAGAAATCGACGGTGCTTTCTTTATTGAATATGGAAATTACAAACTCTCAAGAACCCTAATCGACTCTCATAAGATGTATCTGAATCTATGTGTTTACAATGAATTCTCTATTTTCTCTCGTACAATTTTCTATACCTGAACCACTACTTATATAGGCAGATATCCATGATAATCTGAATAACAATAGCATTATCCAAAAATAGAATTAGCCTTATCCAGAATAGGAACCTGAAGATAGTCGTCTTGAAGGACAAGAGGATAGTCCAGAGGATGGTCCAGAGGATAGACAGACCACAGAGGCTCTGGTCCTCCAAAGGCTCTGGTCAATACACCCAGAGGCTCTGGTCCTCTTCACAGAGGCTCTGGTGTCTCTTACAGAGGCTCTAGTTCTGGTGACTTTACAGAGGCTCTGGTTAACTTCACAGAGGCCCTGGATCTTCTTACAGAGGCTCTGGTCGTCCATACTTGGTCGATTTAGYACAGCGGCTGGTCTTCTTCCAGACTTAGACGATTTTGCACAACAACATCTTCATATGATCCATTCTTAGCCCCGATTGCTTAATAAAACTTTTTGAGATAATTATTAGGATCAATTTAATGCTAACAATCTCCCCCCAAAGTTTTATGAAGCAAACATCTTCATGAAGTCTTCAGGTCTTCTCCCCTCTGCTTTCTTGAGTAAAGCTTTAGTGTNTTGAATAATAATTAAATTAATTAATAATTAAATTGATTGATAAATTAAAATTAATTTATAAATTGAAACAATATTAACAAACAACAATTAATATTAATTAGTAGTATAATTGGAAAAAGTGACAAAAAAACTCTCTATAAGCTACTCCCAACTAGCTTTTCAACAAACTAACTTATAAGTCAGCTTATTTTCTTTCAAATATGTACTCAAAAAATAAGCTAGCTTATAAGTTAGTTTATATTTGTCAAACAACACCTTACGTTTTACACTCTCAAAATTAATTGTTTAATTTACTTTATATCTTTTATTTTTTCATTTTTTGTTTTAAACCTTTATTATATTAACACACAGACTTGGATCATGTGAGACCAACCTGTTTTCGTGAGACTCGTGAGACCACTTTTTTACACTTGAAACTTCACAGTAAAATGCTGTGAAGGTTTACCTTCACAACATTTTTGCTGTGAAGGTTCGGATTTTTTTTACCTTCACAGTGTTTTTGCTGTGAAGTTTCAAGTGTAAAAAGGTAGTCTCATGGGTCTCACGAAAACAGACTGATCTCACATGAACTCAATCCTTAACACACATATTATTAACTATTTATAATATTTAGTAATAATATTAAATCCAAAATAATTTAATAAAAAATAAGAAATACAAAGTAAATTAAATAATTCACTTTAAGAGTGTAAAAATGTAATATTAAATGTAAAGGAAGAGAGGGGGTAAGTGGGCCATTTTTTTTTATTAACCTGGATATCCAACCCGCTATGCGAACCGATTAATCCCAGAGCGACCACCTGCTTTGCAGATAGCCTGAAGTCACTGTATTTGAACATCCGTGGCCACAAGGGGATTTTTATTCTTCCTTGGATTTGAACTTGAGACTTCCTGGTACTTTTGACTTTTGGAGCCAAACTCAAACCAATCAGGCACCACCCTTATGGTTGTAAGTGGGTCATTTAGCGCCTAGAGGCGTGTTCCTCCCCCTCTTGAACGTACGAGACTCTAAAATATCATATTATTGTCAATTTTTTGTCATTTCAAATCAGATTTTATTCATTAGGTAGACGATTATCCATCCCTCCTTGAGAAGCTATTTTTGTAAAAACATTATGTAGGCTAATTCTATAAGTTTTTTACAAAAGGTTATTTAAGTTAAGAACCTTTTTTTTTTAACAAGTAACCAGGTGATTATCAAGATTCAATGAGTTAGAACAAGAAGGGGGAAATGCAAATCTCTGTATCAATGTTTCAGAATCAATCATCATGCTCAATCCATCTAAACTTTACAAACACTCATATTTTACCTACATCTTCGTGTTAGGTCTCAGTGACAAACATAGTCATGTAAGACTAACTGCTCGACTAGACCGGTTTAACCCAACTTACTGAACAAATACTTTTAAACATGTTATGATCAAAATATGGAAAAAATAACAGCCTGAATCAACCACTCCAATTGTTTTTTGATTAACATGGATATCCAACCTGCTATGAGAGTTAATTAATCCCAGGGCGACCAATCGCTTTGCGGGTAGTCCGGAGTCACCGCATTTGAACCTCCGTTGCCATAAGGAGACTTTTATTCCACATTCAAATTTATATTTAGTATCACGAGATAATATGAATTACATGAAGTTGGGTAATTCGTTTTGTAGGGATTATAAAGCATGTGGGTGAAACTAAATCAAGGTAACCATGGATTTACCATTATTAGCATTACATTTCTTGTAACTTATGGTGGTATTATCTTGGCTTATGATTCCATCTTAAATTTCCATTCTCATACAATTTATTCGAAATCCTTCATATTTATTCATAACAAAAGTGTAGTAGCTAGACAAAAAAACACCCATCAGTGCACCCATAACATCCATGTAATAGATGCAGAGTGCAAACTATGGTTGGAGCAAGATGCATTATCTTTCAACATACATCACTAAAGAAATCAATAAATCTTTGTCAAATGAAACGAATATAATGGTAACAGTGGCATGACAATGATCGAACCACAGAGCGATGACATTGGATTACAAACGATAATCATCGAGCTTCACAATATAGATTGAAGGGGATAATAGGCGACAATTGAATTACATAACAACGGCAGTCGAGCTTCATAGAAACGACGGAGTTGGAAGCTGGGGTTGGGAACAACGGTACAAGTATTGAAACCAAGAGGGGCTAAATGTGAGGATAATTTGGTAATTTATCTTATATAAATACTTAAAATGTAAATGTAAATGTAAATGTAAATGTAAGGAGGTTCCTTTGCAGAAATGACGTCCACATAAGGTCATACATCTAAATGACCCAACAAAACAGACCTGTGAGTCCTCTTCTTGCTGTACCTCCGGTTCTGAACATTTTCCATCGTCGGTGCTATCAATCACTCGTCGTATTCTGGTAGCCGATGGATCATTCATGGCGTCCTCCGCCTCTGCCACCAATACCAGGTAATGCCAGCAACATCTGCCCAATCTGCTCAATTTCCCACTTCCCTTTTTGCCCTCCGCCCCCGTTCATTGAAAACCCTAGATTTCATTACTCACAATCACCGAACGATTACCATAATCAACCACCCCATTTTGATCACCATCATTCTTTCCCCAATCATCAGAGTTCATTGAATTATAATTATGATTGTAATCCTAGTGATGGGTATGTAGCTAGACGACCTACGTGGTATGGTAGCAACCCTAGCTTAAATATGAGCCCGTATGATGGCGTCGGAGATCCTCCTATGGGTAATGGAAATTATAATAATTATCATAGGGGAGGCGTTGGGCCTGCTAGTTATGGATATGATGGTTATGATAATGGCGGAACTAAGAGAATGAAAATTGAACCGACTGATTATAACAGGGGTCCTCGAGGATCATCTATGGGGGGTGAAATTGTGGATACCTCAAGGGTTTCATCTGACAGTGAGAGGATATTGAAGTTGATTCACGATCATGGCAATGCTGCCAACGCTGCACCTGGTGGTCTGCCTAAAACGGGGGCAGATTTGTTTTCAGAATCCAGTAATGAAAATGCCAATAGGTATACACATGGAAGATTTGTAGAAACTCGTGAAGTTAGGAATGACATGGGATTAAAACGGAGACAGATGAGTGATTTTCCAAGTACAGGCATGGGGTCTTTTGAGAGGAAGGAATCGTCTTTGTATGTGGGGCCTGGCTCTGATTTACTTGGTAGTAGCAGGGAAGATCGTGGAGTAGCATATGGGAAGAATAATGTGCATTATGATCAAAGAGACGAACTTGGCCAATCACAATATGACTGTACGGAGAGCTCTATTCCCCATTCTTTAAATTACAGTAGGCATGGTAGTCAACCAGCTAGGGTTTTTACTAGCACAGAACAGTCTGAACAAACACAGGATCACCATAGAGGAGCAGCTCCGTATCATTCTGTTTTGCAAAGAAGTGAACTGAATAAAAAGTTGCCCATGCCACAGGAAATGCATGATCCAACTACTGAAATTTTACCTAATATTTATCACCATTTGCAGCCAACAACCCCAAGTAATGTTGCCATAGTAAATAAAGCCAGTTATTCATATGCAGGTCAGAGTCAGTTGCCACCACCTGCTGATACAACGCAGCACAATTTGCAGCCAAATCATAGTTTCTTATCTTCACGCCTACCCACAGATGTAAATCGGCATGTTGATGTTAATGCTCTTTCACAGGAGGGAATTCCAAGTTCAATCCGACATCATAACTCTCAACCACCCTATAGTTGGTCGGAATCAAAAGGTCACTATGCACACAATTCTTTTAGGACGAACTTCGGTCCAGTGGAGGTTTCTCATGCTTATCGTGGCCAACCACCTCTTCCTGCTTCCCCTCCGCCACCATTACCCATAGATCCACCACGGCACCATGTCTTTGAGCCACTTGCTTCACCACCAGCTAAAAAGCCCTCTTTGTTTCCGATTTCTGTTAGTTCTTCAGCAGACTCATCATCATCACGATCTGCGATTCATGAAAATCAATCACCTGCACAAGTTTACTATTCTAACAATGCCGGTCATCATGCTTCAACTCTATCTTCTGCTGAGGTACGACTTAGACAAATTTTCATATTTCTATTTTCCTCTTGGATTATTTATTCTACATGTCTTTGTCATACTAACTATGCATTTCAGACTGAAATTTTATGCATCATCAGATTTATCATAGACTACATTTGTATTTCATAGCTGCTAATTGTCACAAATATGACTCTTGATAATGACTTGTGATTTATGTGTAAGAAAAAATAAATTATCTGCAATTACCCATTTGGCGCTCTAGCACAGTCCATCCATAATAATGGTTGAGCAAGCAAACAAATGTTTAGACCCTGCATTGGACTCCTCATAGGATTTTATAGTCTACAGTCATCCGATTTCTCCTCTGGGCACTTTCCCTGATAAAAGGAGACTACTACATTGTAGTACACATATTTCACATGGATGCTTCCTCCTCTAGGGCCTAGGCACTTCCCCTAGGATACTACATTGTAGTTGAATTATGAATAAGAGAAACAAACCTTCATCCGTTCCAAAAGGAGATACATAGACTTTTCAAGGTCAAACTCTCTACTTTTAAAATAGATATTCCATATAAATTTCACTATCAATTCAGTACCAGTTCTTTTTATTGTATTCATGTAATGCTTAATGTGGTTGTGTAATTTTTCTTATTAATAATTTAGATTCCAGAACTATTTTCCCGTGATCTAGAAAATGTAAGTAGAGGTAAGTGTTTGACTAGCCTTCTAGTGCTTAATTAATTAAGTGGGAATTAAGTGGAATCACTAATCAGTCCAGTTTTTGCCTGTAGAAGTTAGAGATTCTGAGTAAGTTTCAATTCATTGCTGTGGAGTTCAGAATATATTTTTCAGAGCATGCCGAGCACCGTTCAATTGTGCACAATTGATTCTTCAATCTTCACATGGTCCACTTTAATGGGTTTGTTTTAACTCTTGATACTGCGAAGGAAAGGCTTCAGTTAATTGGTTGGGGCCGAAAAGATTGGCTTACACTTCCTATTTGGGTTAAATTTGATTTTCATTTGAGCTTGAATGGGAGTGGGCTAAGATAAAACAGAAAAATTCACATAATCTAAATCCTGCTCAATTATTCTTAATCCAAATTACGTGCACTTAATCCCACTTGATCACTGCTGAAGTTTCCAAACTTTTGCCAAATCCAGGGTGTTTTCCTGCCAGTGCCCAGGTGGCTGACTTAACCCTTCCTTCAGGATACTGCAAATTTTGTATTGATCGGCCTGATCATGTAAATTCAAAATGTATCTCTATTTTTGAATATTGTGTATTGTTAAAATAAATCTTTGGGTTTCTTCTTTTTTTGGATGGGTTAAATCAACAGTTTTGATATGTTCTTTTTCCCCTAATTTTCATCTACTTGGTACTTTTTTCTTTCAACGTTACCAGAAATTGTGGTTTTTATGATACTGATAAACGCAAAGTTATAATATTAATATTTTTCAAATGACTTGAAATATTTTTGAGGACCATAGTGAATATTTGACCAAGTGAGTGTTTTTATATATCTTGGTTGAGCAAATATGTCAATATGGATTGTTGATTGGTGTACATAGGGAGATTAAATTGATACAAACCTATTCTATAACAACAAAATTGGAGATATGATTCGTATTAACTAGAAACAATGAAGGGTTATAATTGATTCCAGCACTTCGAGACTGCCGGATGTCTCCCAAGGCTTTTGCCCAAAACACACCTAAACTGATCAATGCCCTTCTACCTGCTCACTCCCTTAATTTATACTACCTAAAGCATGTACCGGTGCATTAGACGCTTGTACCATAGCCTACTCTGTTTGACTTATTTACTAAAATACCTAGGGTATCACAATACCCACCCCAAATTTCCACCTTGTCCTCAAGGTGGGAAAAAGTCAAATTGGAATTGATTCCAACAATTGACATCAATAACTGTTGGTAACTTGGTGGTGGTAATAGTGACGGTAACAGTGATAGTGATAACGGTGGCGATAGCAACAGTGGTAGTAGCCATCAGTCAACTAATCCTTTTACCATTAAAGAAACAGAGTTTGATGAAGCCTTGGCCCATAAAAGCATTGGATTGGATTGAGATTGAGATTGGGCCTTAATAGAATCACTAGATTGGACTTTAATGGCTTTTGGGCTCATTCATTTCTAAATTGGTTTCCTATGATCCACACCTTTTTCACGGTCTGTGTTACGTTGATGATGGACACAACAATGACTGAAGCACCATCAAGTTCGATCACAACGTCGGCCATGGCGGACAAACAATAATCGGCAGTGAGGAGAGAGGAAACGGCGGCAGCTATTGGCAACGACGATGGCAGAGGTGGTGGTGAAATCGTCGGATCTGGACGAGACCTTGCCCCCTCCTGATCTGGTCCGTTCGTTTTGGGATTGTCGTCGACTCTTCCTTGTCAGTTCCAAACACATAATGCAACGATATCTCCTTTCCGGTAACTTTTCTCTATTCTTCCCACTGAGATTCCTTCTTCCAAATCTCTATTGTCTTCTCATCATTCTCCTCATCTTCATCCAACTTTGCCCTCTACTCTTTCTTCACGATCCACACTTTGTCTTTTAACGAACTCATTGTTGATTTCATTGACCTGAGGTTTCCAACATTTTTTTGTTTGTTGACAGCATACTCCTCAAGATCTCCTGCTCTGATACCATTTGATGCAAACTGATTTGATAACAACAAAATTGGAGATATGATTCATACTAACTAAAGACAATTGAAATTACAATTGATTTTCAGGCAATTTGAGACCGTCGGATGTCTCCAAAGGCTTTCACCCAAAACACACACAAACTGATCGATACCCTTCTAAGCGCTCGCTCCCTTTGTAGATACTACTTAAAGCCTAAACCAGTTAATTGGGCAGTTGTACTATAGTCTACTCTATTTGACTTATTTACTAAAATACCTGTGTTATAAATATGGAAGAAAGGTGGTAGAAGCCATGAGGGTTGTCCGCATGAAGATAATCTTCCGTTTGAGAAACTATACAACCCAAAATTTTAAAGAATGGAAACGAGCCTCGAGGCGTTTTCCTCTTAGGTACGTGAGGCGTAGGCCCCAAAAATTAGAACAACAAAATTCATAAATTCATAACACTTAGCAAAAAAACATAATTTCATATTTAAAGCCCACAATTCAATAAACCTACTTATTGTAAGTCTCGAGCAGGAAACATAGATTGGTTAGCTACACCATTAATCCATTATCTCCAAAATCAGTTAATCACCATCATCTATTCTCTCAAATTACTTGGATAATGTACCGAAAATAGATGTAGAAAATTAAGTAAGAAATTGATAAAACAAATATAAAAGTTATTAAACGTAATAATAATAATATATTTTATAGTATAAACATATAAAAATTACTAAAAAAACAAAATAAAACAAATACAAAACTTATTAAATATAAAAAAATATATTATATATCTTCAATAAAAGCATAAACAAAAATTTAAAAACACAATAAGACAAATACAAAAGTTATTAACTATGTGTTATGATATCTTTTATATCTTCATAGTATAAATATATAAAAGATATCAGGAATAAAAAATAAAAAAAATGGTTATTAACTAAATATAATAATATATTATATTYAAATAGTAAAAACATAAACAAAACTACAAAAGTAATTAAAAAGGAATCAGCATATACAAAAGTAAGGTGATAGAAAAGAAGCGCCGTACCTTTTTGACTCATTTTTTGGGTTTTATCCATTTATTACTGAAAAACACGAAACACCCAGTAGGACGCCTTTCGGGAGCCCACCGCCTCACCGCTTTGGGCCACGTACCAATCAACCAAGGCGTACGTTCCAAACAGCCCCTAAGAGGCGCCGCCTGATATACTTTTTGTGGATGCCTCCCCCGGTTTTTAAAACCATGATAAGTTTCTAGTATTTCTCAATTTCAAAATATTTTAATACTAAAATGTTGATTACTGAACTGGGCATAGTGAAGTGTGATATTGTACATCAGCAGACAGCAGATGTGTGTGTGTGTGTAATATATGTATGTGTGTTTATGTAGACACACTCACTTACATGGAAGAGATTTTTGGTGGTTGCTGGAGGAACATGTACGACATCTTCAATTTGCTGCAGAATGTCGATCACTGTTATTCAGTCACTAAATATGTCGGTTGATGAATAAAGATGCAATGCAAGGGGTCAACCTCCAAATTACTTTTCTTTTTAATTGAAACAAGATGGTTGATTGAATATATTTTTATTTGGTTTGTGGAATTTAATATGTTGGAAGGAAGTTCTCGAGTTCTCCATTTATGTTTATTTTCTGTAACTTCCCTTCTTCCCTTTTCTAGTTTACCATGGCATTCCTTTCTCTTACTAACATTGTGCTTAATAGGAATTTCGCACCCGCCAATCTTCTTCTGAAAAGCATGTCAGAGATGTTCAACCTTTTCCATTGCGGCATTTAGCTTCAGAGAAGCCAAATACTATTGATGCTTCTCACATATTCAAGCAGCCACACCGAGCATCTCGTCCTGATCATTTGGTGATAATCCTACGAGGGCTTCCAGGTACTTTGCTTGATCATGATAAGGGTTTCAATTCTCTTTACTGAAGTACTATTTCTGCCTTACCAAATTGAACTTAACCATATTTCTTTTCTTTTTGTCTTTCTTCTTCATGGGGTTAGGGGTGAAAGTAGATGCAAAACTCTGTTCTTCGTTTTACCATAATTTGGGGGTAATTTTTGACTGCAATTGACTTTATGTGAATAACGAATTAGCAATATGGTATTTACATGTATTTTGTTGACACCTGTATTTAAATAAGGAAGCTATGTTTGTCCTTACATTTTCCCCTCTTACATCCCTTCCTATATGTTTGCTTCCTTCTACCACGTCTTACTTGGGTTTTATTTCTCAAATCCTGGCCTCACATTTGCTTATTCATAGTGTAAGCAGGGAGAACGTAAGGATCTGTCTTGACCAGTTCTTTTAAGTATAGAAGAACCATAGGAGTACAAAATAAGACTTGCATGAAGTTCCATCTTGTTATTGCTAATGTTTTTCGTATGAGTGTGTGTATGGTGACATGACCTCGTTAGGCAATTAATTTCACAGCCTACATCCATATTTGCAGGCAGTGGAAAGAGTTACTTGGCAAAGGTGTTGCGTGATATTGAGGTTGACAATGGTGGGGAAGCACCACGCATTCATTCCATGGATGAGTACTTCATGACTGAAGTTGAAAAGGTCTGTAGTTGGCTTCTTTAACCCCATAAGGAAGCTGGCTGTGTGACATCCTTTTTTTAGCTAGCATGTTCAGTGTATCTCCATATTTTATTTCTACAACTTTAGTAACCAGAAATTCTGATTATAAGCATTGTATATGTTTTGTAGGCTGAAGATAGCGAGTTGTCAAAATCTTCTGGTTCTCTTAGGGGCAAGAGACAAGTAATGAAGAAGGTGATGGAGTATTGTTATGAACCTGAAATGGAGGAGGTATTTAAGTACTTATTCATATATAACAATTATTTAAGCAGTACAATCCTAAGTGTCAACATTCTGGCTCCGCTTATCTTCCTTTGAGGTTTATTCATTCACTTTTCAATTGTCATAGAGGGTGATTAAGGTGGAACATTTGATGTTAATAGGAAATTTATTTCTTTTCATGTTTTTACCTTTTTAGGTTAAATACGTTGATAATTTTGATGGTACTAAAAAGGTCTTCTTTGTGTTCCATATGTAATATTCTTATGCTTTTAGAAAGCCTCTTCTTTTATTTTATTTTTTTATTTGTGGTTGTAGAGTTCATTCTAATTAGTGCATATATATTTTCATTTTCTTCTTATGTTATAGAAGGGCTTTTTTTCCCTTCTTGTAGATACATGTATAACATGCTTGTGGCTTTAGGCTTTTTGCTTTGATCCTAAACAATGCATCTGGTTTCTCACTTTTAACTGTCATGGAGGTGATTAATGTGGAATATGATGATGTTAATAAGAATTTTTTTTCTATTATCTTTTTTGAGTTTACATTATTGATAATTTTTTACGGTACTAATAGGTCTTTTTTTTATTTCATATGACATTTTTTATGCTATTAGATTGTGTTCGTTGAATAATGGATGCTTATTGTTTTTCTCTTGTTATGAAGCAAGCCTCTTCATTATTATTATTTTATTTGTGGTGTAGAGTGTGATCTAATGAATGCCACATTTTTCGAAGTTTTCTTATGTTATAGAAGGGCTTCTTTTCATTTTATTTTGTAGATATGTATTGCATGCTTGTGGCTTTAAGCTTCTTTACTTTGATCCTAAACAATGCATCTGGTTTCTCATCCCTTTGATTTATCATTTAAAGAAATTCATTTATTGTGATTTTTAAAGAAAGGTCCCCTTTTGTCTTCTTTTTTCTTGCATGCCTTTAGATTTGGTCCTTGAATAATGAATTTAGTTTTCTATTATGTTTGTGTTAAGCTTTCAAAATTGCATCTATTTCTTCTTTTTGCTTGATATGCCAATTCGTTGTCTTCAGAAAATTCTAAGTTTCGTCCATGATGTTCTGCATTCTGATTTATGTATGCATTCTGTTTTCATAATCAAACTGTAAAAAGGATCTTACTGTTGTTTGTTTGCAAGGAGATTTAAGTTCATAAACAATTGTGGTTGATATGATTCCTTAGTGGCTTGAGCTATTTGTGTTCTCAGTACTCATTTATATCTTGTTCAACTTTCAGCCTGAAGTGTGTTTAGTACGTTGCCTTATGATTATTGTTCTACTGTTCTAACCTCGGCATATATATCTTTGCATAGGCTTATCGAGCGAGCATGCTGAAGGCATTTAAAAAGACCCTTGATGAGGGGATTTACTCCTTTATAATTGGTATGGTTTATCTGGGACAGAAGGGCCAGCCTTTAGTACATAAGGGTTTATATTCTGTCTTCATCTTATGCCTTCTGACCTGATCTTGGTTCTATAGTATTGTGAATAGTATTTCCTTGATCACCTCTTTCAATCAAAGCACTTGCCTTTTTGTGTTGTAAAATTTTGTATGGTTACATAGTGGCACACAAACATTTATTTGGATGACTAGCTGTCTAGAGTTGGTGATCTCGTTCTGTCACCAGTAGGAGCTTCAACTTAGAAGTGATTTGTCTTGTATATGCACATGCTCATACCTTTTTTCCGTTTAGGGCTTGGAGAAGTTTAATACTAAATTTTATCATAAATGTTGTCCTTACATATGATTTAAAAAAAGAAAAGAATGATATCCATTGCACTAGCTTTTCCTGGCTAAGCATCTAGACTGATTGTAGAGTAAGTGGTGATGCAGTGCTTGTGCACTGCTCAATTTACACTAACCACCAATGCAGTTTTGTTGAGCCAATTGACTTATTTGTTGCTGGTATGTGTGCCTCGTCTTAGTGGATGACCGCAATCTGCGGGTAGCTGATTTTGCTCAGTTTTGGGCAACTGCTAAGGTATACCCTCAACTCTCTCATCCTCACAATCTCTAGCAATAGTTGTCTTCTCTGTGTTAGCTGGTGGGCTACTTTATTGCTTGCAGCTTTTTTGCAACCTTGTAATCTTTGTGTGTTTCATTTTGCTTTTATTTATTTTCTATGCTGTATTTATCAATACATCGGCATTCTGTTGGTGATGTAATTCCTACGAGCTTAGTATGGTAGAAGAAAGTAAATTTAATAGAAATCTGAACCACTCATCATTTAGTGGGCCTATTATTAGGCTGACATGTTCTTTTTCTTGTGTGTGTGTTCTCTCTTTCTGTTTTTGGTGAACTAGTTGCTTAATTGCTTTATACATACTGATTTAGCAGTTGCCCCTTTTATTCATGAATTAAACATTTTGGAATCTTTTGGTGACTTGAGTCTTCTTATTTTCTAAGGAGCAAACAAATAATTAATTTAATGGGGGCTTATAGTTTTATAGGTGGAATTTTAGCAATTTTTTGTTGCAAAGCTTTATTTACTAATGAGATATGCTTACCAATTCCAATACAGTGTTACCTGGTTTTCCTCTTCAATTGTGAACTCACGAATTCGATGTGAGCTTGCTTCGGAAGGCATGAGATTTCTAACTTGGAGGTCTATTTGCAGTCTGCAGATTTAACAGCATATCATGTTGAACAATTTCATTGTATTTATAAATTTGTGGAAACTATGTGGATGGTGATTCATTTGGATTTCTGGTGCTAGAGATGCAAGCTTATTAATCATTTGTGAAAATGTCATAATATGTCAACATTGTGGAGTCACTATAGAGCACATTCAGTATTTCATTTTATTTGTTTATCAATTTTGTCATCCTTGTTGGCAAGCTAGGATTGTATTTTTAAGTAGGCTTCTAAGCTTGTGATCCATGCTGGGCCAAGCAAAGCAAGAGTGTTACAAATGTTTAAATCTGTGAACTGAAAAGACTATATGTTAGGTGTGGCTTTAATTAAAATAGTTAATTTTTTCTGCTAGCGCGACTTGGCTATTACCTATAAATAAGTTGATTATCCTCATTTGTGAATTATCCCAATTTCGAAAATAAGATTCCTTCAATTTCCCAGTTCTTCCAAAATTCTCTTTACATCGTTTTCTCTATTTTCTTAACAAACTAGTATCAGAGCGTTAGGGTTCCTTCCAATCACTAATCATTGATCTCCTCCTCAATTGATTTGGATTTTGCCTTATTATCGATTTTGGTTTTGTCTTTGAGTCGCATGTTTCTGGAATTGTTTCTGTTGGCAAGCGATTGAGTCAATTTGGTATCCGATTCAAGGTGGAGCTTCTCGATTTTGGAAATCGATGGTGTAAATTAACGGATTCAGCAGTCAATTTGAGAAATCGGCAACAGCAGTCAATTTGAGAAATCGGCAACAACAGTCAATTTCTAAAATTCGTCGGTCTAAATTGATTCTTTTACAATCAATTTTGTTGTTGGGTGCTGAATTGGAGGTATCGACTTGTGACCAACAATCAAAGTTGATGTTTTGATTTCTTGATTGGTCGATTTTTTTGGGGATCAATTTTTGGATTACTGATTTTGGACAACCAATTTAGAAATTACTAACTCAATTGAAGATTAGTCTGGATATTTGTTCTTGATTTCTCAACATTGAATCTTGTACCATAGTTCTTTTCAAGATTTTAGAAAATGCCTCCACAAATGATCAAGATAGACAAGTTTACAGGAAAGAACAACTTCAGCTTATGGAGAATTAAGTTGAGAGCTCTCCTAAAACAACAAGGCATCTGGATTCCCTTGGCTAGTGAAAGGCCTGATGATATGGCTGAATCTGAGTTTGCACAACTAGATGATAAGGCTCACTCTACCATCTTGTTGTCTTTGGCGGATGAGGTGATTTATGAAGTTGCCGATGAGGAGACTGCTGCGCCTTTAATCGCTGAAACTAACGAACAAGTTGTTGTTAAAGCAAACTTATTCTCATTACTGATGAAGGAGGGAATGCCTTTGAAGGAACATCTTGACGAGTTAAACTCCATTCTTATGGATTTGAAGAATGTTGAAGTCAAGATTGAAGATGAGGATGCCGCCTCATCTTATTGGTTTCGTTGCCCACTTCATATGAAAATTTTGTCAACTCGTTCGTTGTTGGTAGAGACACAATTACTAAGGAAGAAGTTCCTTCAAGTTTGCACTCACGAGAGTTGCGCGATAAAGCTTCAGGAAGTAGTTCCGAAAACCAATCGGTAGGCTTGTCTATGGTAAACGGAGATAGAGACAGAGGTAGAGATAAAGGCCGAGAGAAAGGAAAAGGGAAGTGGAAAAGTAGAGGCCGATCAAGATCGAAGACTAGAGGTCCAAGTGGAAACCCAAGGGATGGCTGCCACTACTGTAAAGATCCGGGTCATTGGAAAAATGGTGTCCAAAACTGAAGACAAAAGGATCCGCTGTTGTAGCAAAAGATGATTCTGGTTCGGAGGCTGATTTGGTGCTCTCGGTGGTTGATTGCAAAAAATCAGTCAGAGGTATGGATTCTTGATTCTGCATGCTCATTTCACATGACACCACATAAGGATTGGTTCAACACAGAAAAGATTGCAACTGGAAATGTCTTGATGAGAAATGACATGTCGTGCAATGTTGTTGGAATTGGACCGGTGAGCATTAAAATGCATGATGGGACAGTGAGAACTCTAACAGATGTTCGTCATGTACCCGGGTTGAAGAAAAACTTAATCTCTTTGGGAGTGTTCGACTCAAGGGCTTCAAGTACACCGGGGAGGGTGGAGTAATTCGGGTCACTAAGGATGCATTAGTGGTGATGAAAGGAGTCAACAGAGGTGCCTTGTATGTGCTTGAAGGTAGCACGGTTGTTGGATCAGCATCACCAACCCTTAATCCTGTAGAGAATGAGTCAGATTTTTTACACGTCTGTGGCACATGAGGCTAGGGCATGTTAGTGAGAAAGGCATGGTAATTCTCAGCAAGAAAGGACTTCTTGGAGGTCATAGAGTTGCTAAATTAGGCTTTTATGAGCATTGCATCTTTGGAAAACAAAGGAGAGTGAGTTTTTCAAAAGTTGTCCATACAACCAAGTCGACTTTAGATTACCTTCACGTTGATTGTTGGGGTCCATCGCAAGTTCCTTCACTTGGTGGTGGTCTTTACTTTCTCTTAATTATTGACGACTACTCTAGGATGACTTGGGTATTCGTCATGAAGCATAAGAGCGAGTCGTTTGAGAAGTTTAAAGATTAGAAAGTTATCATTGAAAATCAAGTTGGGAAGAAGATAAAGCGGCTGTGAACGGACAACGGATTGGTGTTTTGTTCAAGTGAGTTTGATCGGTTTGTAAAGGTGAAGGAATTGCAAGGCACCGAACGGTTAGGCACACTCCACAGCAGAATGGAGTAGCCGAAAGAATGAATAAAATGTTGCTGGAAAGAGTGAGATGTGTGCTGTCAAATGCAGGGTTGACTAGGAGTTTTGGACAGAAGTGTTAAACACAGTTTGCTACTTGGTGAATAGATCCCCTTCAACGGCAATTGATTGTATTTGGTCCGGTAAGCCGGCTGATTACACGGGCTTAAGAATATTTGGTTGTCCTTCATACTACCATGTTAGTGAAGGAAAATTGGAACCAAGATCAAAGAAGGGGTTGTTTATGGGATACGAAATTGGAGTAAAGGGCTACAAAATATGGTCTCTAGATAAAAGAAAGGTGATTCTCAGCCGTGACGTAGTGTGACGAGGAGAGTATGTTACGTGGCGTGGGGTATTCATCTACTCCAAGTGTTCAAGAGGAGAGTGTGTCCGAACAGGTGGAGTACGAGTTAAATGGTCCCGATGAAGGCGAGAATACAGCTGGACAACCCAGTAACTCACCTCAAACTGAACCTTTTGTGCCCGAAAATCAGCACCAACCTGCAGAATTTCGATCTATAGCATTAGATAAGCCCTGAAGACAAGTTGGTAGGCCAATTCGATATGGTTTTTGATGACATGGTGGTCTATGCTCTGCAAGTTGCTGAAGAAATGGAGTTCTTTGAGCCATCTACTTACATGGAAGCAATCACAACGAAGGAGGCTGATGTGTGGATAACAGCCATGAGTGAAGAGATGGAATCCCTTCACAAGAATAGAACTTGGGAATTAGTGAAGTTACCTGAAGGCAGAAAAGTTGTGACCTGTAAGTGGATCTTTAAGCAAAAAACGGGGCTGCTAGGAGCTGAAAGTGTGAGATACAAGGCCCATTTGGTGGCTAAAGGTTATAGCCAAGAGCAAGGGGTTGATTATAATGAAATTTTCTCGCCAGTGGTGCGTCATACATCCATTTGGGTGTCGTTGGCACTAGTAGCACAAACAAATTTGGAGTTGGAACAATTGGACGTCAAAACGGCTTTCTTACATGATGAGCTTGAAGAGGAAATCTATGAGTCAACCGGAGGGTTTTGTAGTTCAAGGTAAAGAAAACTATGTTTGTAAGCTCATGAAATCGCTTTATGGGTTAAAGCAATCTTCGAGACAATGGTATAAACGTTTTGACAGCTTTATGGTGAGTCATCGTTTTACTAGAAGCCCTTATGATTGCTGTATATATCATAAGAAAGGTGCTGACGAGTCACATGTGTATCTGCTACTTTATGTAGATGATATATTAGTAGCGGCTCGTGATATGGCTGAAATTAAGTTAAAAGGACTCCATAATTCTGAGTTTGACATGAAAGATTTGGGGGCTGCTCAAAAGATTCTCGGTATGGTGATTATCCGAGATAGATCTAGACATAAACTTTTCTTGTCCCAGAAAAGTTACATTTTGAAGATACTTTCTCGATTACCTTCATCAGCAAATTTCAGATTATCGGTGGCTTTGGCACCTCAAACAGAGGCTGAGGTGGAGTATGTGAGCAAAGTTCCTTATTCTAGTGTTGTAGGAAGTCTTATGTATGTCATGGTCTGCACTAGACCTCACATAGCTCATGCTGTTAGTGTTGTTTCATGCTACATGGATTATCCGGGAAAAGAACATTGGGTTGCCGTGAAACGTAGTTTTTGTTACCTCAAAGGCACAACTGATGTAGGTCTCATTTATGGAGGAGGAGGAGATTGTATTGTGGCTGGATTTTAAGATTCTGATTACGCAGCTGACCTTGACACACGGAGGTCATTAACGGGATATGTGTTCACTGTTGGAGATGCCTTGGTGAGCTAAAAGCAACGTTACAGCCGTCTGTTGCTTTGTCTACAACAGAGGCTGAATATATGGCTCTTACGGAGGCTGCAAAAGAAGGGATTTGGCTGAAAGGTTTGCTTGGAGATCTTGGGTTTCATCAAGATCAGACTGTAGTTTTTTGTGACAGCCTGAGTGCTATTTGTCTTGCAAAAGACCAGGTGCATCATGAGAGAACGAAACATATAGATGTTCGTTATCGCTTTATACGTTCGGAAAGGAGATTTAAAGTGAAGAAAGCGAAGACCGATGACAATCCAGCTGATGCGCTAATGAAACCCATTTCCTTGAACAAGTTTAGGCATTGTTTAGATCTCCTAAACATTGATAGCTGGAACCTGGAAGTAAAATTTTTCTGTACTAGAATTAAAGCCAAGGTGGAGATTTGTTTGGTGTGACTTTAATTAAAATAGTTAGTTTTTTCTGCTAGTGTGACCTGGCTATTACCTATAAATAGGTTGGGTTATCCTCATTTGTGAATTATCCCAATTTCGGAAGGATTTTCCAATTCTTCCAAAACGCTCTCTACATCGTTTTCTCTAATTTCTTGACACTATATATAACTATTAATCAATGATAATTTTACTTTGGATTCACCTAACTTTACTACATGGATAAAATGGTTAAAACTTAAAGCTAAAGATGTCAGTGAAGGGTTGGTGCTGTCATACAACCTGAGTCCATATTTGTCCCTTCACTAGTGGCAAATTAGCATTGTTTTGTATAACACTTTATAGAAGTCTTTTGTAATAAACTAAGAAATGTCTGTTCCTTGCCAACAAATTGTTGATGAGGATACAATGGAATTTGGGCTAATTACCTTGAAGATTTGTACTATTTTGGTTGGAATTATATAACTCTGTCAGTTGTTTCAATTTGTGGTAGAAGGCTCTCAGGAAGGTTATGGAGGCTTATTCTGGGATGGTTTTGTTCCTGGATTCATCAACACATTTTTCTTTTGTTACCTGTTATTATCACTACTATCTGAAACAACATTTTGGTGATACAACATTCTTTGCAATTCATACAGCAGTGTGTTGACTTTTGTACAGAATGTACTGTTTCTGTTCCAATTCATAGTTCTTAGGCTTTGTTTTTTGGTGAGACTTGTGCTGTTACGTTTATCCGGCTGTATGTGTTTATTTTTTTATTACAAACCCGACTCCTCTTATCTTACCACTTTAGAAGTTGAAACATGTGCTGAAGTTGCTGGTCATGCGGGTTTGACCTGTAGTTCATCCAATAAATATGTATCTGACTGTGCCATAAAAAATGGATATCTGGGTTCCCATGCACGTGTCCCAACACACATGTATATTGTAGCTTATGGAGTTGAGCATTCATGATTTACAACACTAAAATTTGTACGACAATAGGCTACTCTTAAATGAAATAAGAGGAGCTGGATATTGATAATTATATCTTATAGTTTGATGGCAAGTCGAATTTTATGGAGTTATATGCTCAAGCATGGTTTGGTGTATAAAAGTTGCAGCTATCGTGTGCATTCGTGCAGTCTTTGAATCTCCCTCTAAAAATCATGACAGTGGGCCAATGCTTAATACAAAATTGATATAAATTTTTATATTACTAACAGCTCTTACTAGTTTGATTGGAGCATTGTATTGTTGCGCTCTGATACTTCCTGATTCTGTTAGATTCCATTGGTTATTTATTAAATGACTGAATTAGATTTTCAACCATTTTACTTGTCCCTTCATTGCAGAACGATCATTGTACTCATGAAATGCTAAATAAGACCATTAAATCTTGCAATGTATTGCGTACCCAACTAAGGTTAACAAAATGCAATGGTTGTTTTGTTACAAAGTGACAAATCCGCTGGTTGAAAATGGTAAAAATTGCAAACTGTGGTGGTCTTTCAGCATTTTTTCAAGTACAAAGTTGTTTATTAATGGTTGAAAATCTAACCCATTATTTGTTTAATTGTTATAATGTAAAATAAAAATATTTCACCTAATTCCGTTATATGATAATTGAGTTTGCTTTAAATGCGTGGTTTTGTCAGAGGTTTTTAATGATCTTTAGAACCTATAAGCCACTGCTTGACATGGAATTCAACCCCTAAATATCTTATTCTTGTCACAATTTGAATGTAGTTCTCTATTGATTATTTTTTCCAGAAGATTAGATCATGCTTGAATGTAAATCTTATTGGAAGTTCAAAATGCCAGATGGCATTAGGTACTAGAAAATACTTCAGTCTTGTTTACTTGGAAGATCCCACACATGGCTTATATCAAGAGTTTGTGGCATTGCGTTGCTGTGTGCTGTTTGTGACATGACAATATCAGCATTGCAGATTCGTGATAAGTATATATTATGCTTGTATTCATTCGTCTCCTGCTTTTCATGCAGAGATCGGGTTATGAAGTATACTTAGTGGAGGCTGCATACAAGGATCCAGCAGTGAGTTTACATACCGCATAGTCCCTTTCTAATTCCAAATTCTGTATGCCCCAAATATGTAGGTTAACATTAAAGTCTAATAGTTAGGGAAAAGAGTTTCTCTGACCATCTGTTTGTGACATACTTAGGGTTGTGCGGCTAGGAATGTACACAATTTTACCCTGGATGATATACAGAAGATGGCTGGACAATGGGAAGAAGCTCCATCTTTGTACTTGAAAATGGATATCAAGGTTTGTATATGTGGTTCCGTGCCTGTTTCAATTGGAAGTGTCAAATGGCATGAATTCTTTTATTCCCACCATCCCAAGTTAGTGGTGATATAAGCATGCTGGATACCAACATTTTACTTCAGATTGGGATGTTTGGAGCATTTTAGTTTGACAGACAGACCATCCAGGAGATAAATAAATATTTTAGTTTGACAGAGAAACCATCCAGGAAATAAATAGATATTCTAGTTTGACAAAGAAATCAGTCAGGAAATAAATAGATTTTATAGTTTGACAAAGAAATCAGTCAGGAAATAAATATTCTAGTTTGACAAAGAGACTGTCTAGGAACTATTTAGATACATGGAGAATATATTATCCAAACATTGGTAGATTATGATTATTTCTTGAAAATGTGATTTGATTTTGTTACCTTGTTACTTGGTTTTGCAGTCTTTACTCCATGGAGATGGTTTTGATGAAAGTGGGATTCAAGAGGTAGGTCCAGCATGTCATTATATTCCATTTGTTAGCTGCTTTTTTGGGAAGTATATAATATTTATATATCGCAACTACTCACGCACACTCCTAACCTTGGGTGAGATTTGAACCCTGAAGTGCTTTTTTTTTATATGCTTCAAGTATGCTGTATAGATGTATCTATGGGTAGATTGAATGTGGGATGTCACAATTTCCTAGAGAAGAAAATTTGGAAAGATGAGTGTGTATGATAGAGATGGAAATGTATTGTTTAGCAATTTAAACTCTCTGTTGTTCTCTTGTTTGAAATCACATGGAATAACTGAGAAAGATGCACATTCTCCCTTTTTCTAATGTGGTGCTGCAAATCCCTTTCTTTTTTGCTTTTCTTCTATATAATGACCCATATGAGATTGACAGGTGGACATGGATATGGAAGATGAGGATGCTATAGAGGCTTCACCGGGACCTGACGTTAAAAATCCACAGGAAGATGTCAAAGATCAGGTGGATGAACATGAACTTACACCTCATGGTATGTTCTGAAGGCTTGTTCATATGTAGTTGCTAGCTGACATATAGTAGTGTCTAGACAGGTTCTGTCTATAATCTACATCTTTGTGTATATGATGTGTTAGATATAAAATCTTGACTGGACTTGCACTTCCAAATTCCAATATTGAGTTTAGATGAGCTGATATGTGTCCAAGGCACAAGATATTGATTATTGCTTGCAGTATTTTTATTTAAGAAACTTGATGTCCTTATAAATTTGCACATTTTGTTCAAACTGGAACGATACACCAAACAGGTTATTTACGAAAATAATTTTCTGGACAGATGTTTTTAAATGCATGACCTTCTGACATATTTGAAAGTGCCTCTACCAGTCTACCTAATGGAGGAATGTATTTTTCTCCTAAATAACCCTATACCAAATATACGCATAACTCAAGTGTGGGAACAGCCGGTTTGCTCAATTTCTTTCCATGGTTAGATGTAGGTCCTGTGAAGCATCCTGTGACGAACCATGTAACAGAAGAAGTGAACCATTTGAGCAGAAGTAAATGGTCAAATGATATGGATGGAAGAGAATCTCTAGAAGCAGAAGGTGGAAAGAAAAATGCCAGTGCTCTTTCAGGTTTAATTCAAGCATATGGCAAGGAAGGTAAATCTGTTCGTTGGGGTGACCAGGTATGTGTACTCAATACATATGGTTGATTAATTTGTTTTTGTAAGTTCCCATGATACAAACTTATGGTAACCGCCTATACTTGTTATCCAATGCGTTTGTTAGGGAACTCGGTAGATTTATTAGACATTGCAAGGTGTAACCGACCTATTTATTTGTGCGCACTATACACTAAACCAAACAAATCCAGTATATCCAACCAGGATGTATGCAAACCTTGCCTCTGTCTCAAAAGATAGAAAATGATTGGTTGTCTCCTAAGAATCATACTTGTGACATATTCTTAGGCAGTTTGTATTCTAGCCACTTTGTAACATCGATAATGTCAACAATTGGTTATTTAGGAGAATAACCATATGACAATTCTTTTTAATCAAATGCATGACCTTCTGACAAATTTTTAGGCATTCTTAATTCTATAAGAGGGCCGTGAATCAGAAAAAGAAAATTATTCTCTAACACTCCCAGATGGAAGAACGGGTTGTTGCTTCTGAGCAATGCCATATTGTTTTATTATCCCTCACCTGCCACTTGACTACTCTTTTTTCAGGGTGGAAACGTTGGCTTTTCAATCAGTGCAACGAGGAAAACAAACACAAGATCGTTGATTATTGGGCCTGGTTCAGGGTACAATTTGGTAAGTTGGAGAAAGTTTAACATGTTGAATTTGCACATTTACTGAATTGATCACATTTTATAGAACCATTTCAAGAAAAAGCTCCATAGCTTGAAACAAGTGTCTATTCAATGCTGACATGGCTTTAATGTGATTTAAGTAGTTGTGTTTTTGAAAATGTACGTTCATAAAGATAGACATTTTTCATACTATAGACCCTTGAATATGACAAAGCGTTTCAAGATTGTCGATTATTGTTGGTATTGGTTTTGATCTATCAAGATTCCTCTTTTGTCCTACACATTACAAACAGGAAAACAATGTGTTAGGACAAACTTTACAAGAGTAGTTATTGTTTTATTTGATATGAATACGGATTATTACTACAGAAATCAAATCCGTTATCGGAGGAAGAGTACCTAAAGCCAACCCAGAAAGCTGTTGAGCCGAAAAGCCAAAATGTATTCCAAGAACGGATTCGTGCAGAACGTGAATCATTCAAAGCCGTTTTCGATAAGAGACAACAGCGGAGGATTGGTGGCTTCGACATTGATGACGAATAAATTCATTTCTTTCTAATATGGTGTTTGGGTGTCAAACTAAAATTTTGTAGCTCTCTTTTGAAGTACAACATTTTTAATTTCATTTCTTCTTGATCCGAATGAATCCGGTGTTTGACTTGCTTCGAAATAGTCAAATGATGTTACTTTCTTCTTTTTGTTAACTGTGGTGGGTAGAGGTGGCCAAAAATCGGTCCCGGGCCGGGCCATAACCGGTTACGGCCAGTCCCGATCAAGACAAAAATGTTCCATAACCAGTCCCTCTATAACCGGTCCCGGTTCCGGTGAAATCCTCCATAACCGGTTAAGCCATCCGGTCCCGGTTCCGGTCCCATAACCGGTTACGGCCGGTCCTTTGCAAAAATAATATTTTTTTTTTCAAATTTTTGGTAATTAATAAATTTTTAACATGTTATTAATATCTTTGAAATATGTTATTTTTAATGTTTTATTATAAATACGTTTTATTATAAATATGTTTTAAAATACGTTTTGTTATATATATACGTTTAATTTTATAAATACGTTTTCTTATATATATATATATATGTTTGTAATATGTTTTATATAAATACGTTTTGTTATATATATATATATATATATATATATATATATATNACGTTTTCTTTTATATATATATATATATATATATATACACGTTTAATTTTATAAAAACGTTTTGTTATATACGTTTAATTTTATAAATACGTTTTATTATAAATACGTTTAAGAATACACTTTAAAAATACATTTATTTATCAATCTTTATTGGTATTCCATGTCGGATTGACTTGAAGAGTTTCGGTCCCTTGAATTATTCTAATAGCCTCTTGGTCTTCAAAGTCATCAATGTCGAGTTCCTCATCATCGTCATATTGGGACTGGGAGTTGGTGCTCTCGGTATCGGTACTTGGTGGCGTGCTTAGTCCCATAGAGATTTCATTTTCTTCAAGATTTTCTTCCACTGTTTCAATCTCCGTCTCTAATGATGATGTGTGTTGAATCCTATCAACGCTATCCAAATAATCCTTCAAGCAAATGCAACACTCCACGGACTTCGGGCTTAGTCTTGTCCGACGTACCGAAATGATCCTGCAACTAAGAGAAAAAGCAGACTCCGAAGTTACGGTACTAGCTTGGATTGTTAGTACATCACGTGCGATGCACGCCAAAATCGGGAATTGAGGTTGTTTTTGTTTCCAAAAATCTAATAAATCAAAATTTTCAAAATCTTCAACATCATTTGCGGGACATGCGGCCATAAAGTTAGTATGTACATACACATTTAGTTCACCCAAATCGTTATCGTATCGACTTTTTTTACTTGATTCATTTAAAATCTCGTTCATTAAATTAGTCATTAACTCTTTACGACTTTGTCGATGACCACTAGAAGAAGAACTAGAACCCACAAAACCACGTGAGGAAGGTGTTTGTGGTTGGGGTTCTCCTCCGTAAAATTGTTTGTAATGATCAAATATATCTTGAAAATTGCGGTTAAATAAACGTTTTTGTTCCATTGAAAAAGAATTATCCATAGCGGAGTCCAAACCAAAAGCCACACATATTTGTGTAATTAAAACTTCAACACCAACAATATTTAAATACGGGTTTAAAGCCGCAGCACAAAGAAAAAGAAATGAGATACCCATAAAATATTTTAACAATTTTTTTTCATGCAAGACATCAACGTTCCCTAATCCACATGGTCTTCGTATTGGGCAATTTTACTTGCCAAAATATAGATTTGGTTTAAAACTAAAGGGCTTGTTGGATAATAAATTCTCGATAAAAGTGTTGTCGCATTTTTAAAATACCCTAAAATGTCGTACAATCCTTCATCACGGCCCAATCGAAATTCCCAATAGAGTTTTGAGGATAATGGTTTCTATAAAATAAAAATATATAATTTTTTTGTTTTATTAAATTTTCAATCATAAAATACGTCGAGTTCCAACGAACGGGCATATCGTGGTTCAGTCCCAAAGCTCTAAAACCAACGTTTTGGCAATACCTTTTATAGGCCGCATGTATTTTTTTACCTTTAGTGAAAATTCGCCGCAACATAAATCTAAACTTATCTATTATGGGTTTACAAGTATTTAAATCGTCTTGAACGGCTAAATTTATTATATAGGCACAACAACGTGTATGAAATAATTTTCCGTCTAAAATAGGTGTCAAATAACACTTTAATTTTTCCACACAAGCATTGTTATTACTAGCGTTATCAAATGAAATACTAATTATTTTAGCGGTTAAATTATAAAATACAAGGTTTTTTTTTAATAATCGAATATTGACGTGTACCCGAATGTGGCGCACCAAACGGTTCAAACGCGATTACACGTTTGAATAATTGCCATGTGTTAGGGTCAACCCAATGTGCCGTTACGCATATATACGAAACCGGCAATCCGTATGGTGCGCTCCATACACCACACGTTAAAGAAATATTGTTAGGTAAAGAAGAAAACATTTGTTGCATTTTGTCTTTGGCAATTTTCCACATTTTTAGAGCATCACGTCTAAGGGTTTGACGACTTACCGACTTGTATCGTCTTTTAAATCATCTTTGTAAGGTGAGGGTTGTCGAAGTATCCAAAAGGCAAACCGACTTGAATGACACATTGTGTAGTCATTTGTCAGTTTAATTCGGCATCGTAGTTCCATATATGACCTTGTGTGTCAAGTATCGGTTGGCTCGAATCACCCCTCGACCTCAACCCCGGACACGTTTTTTCGGTGTGCCTCCTTAACGTAGAATTTCCTTTCGCCGTAAGGAGAGTTTGACACATTTTGCATTGTGCCTTTCGTTTCCCAGTCGTGAGAACCACCAAGTTGTGGTGATTCCAAATCTCGGACTTTCGTCCGTGTTCGGCGAGAACTTGGGCAATTTGTTTGTTTGATGGATGTTTGATAACTCTCATTTTGTGATAGTTATTTGTTGTTCAATACCCCTATTTTATTGTATCTTTGGTACCCATTTTGCTCATATCTTGTATTTTTGGTCCAAAATATGTTAAGAGGTGATGAAAGGTCAAGAAATTAATTATTTTCTAAAAAAACCCATTACTGTTGGTAAAATACCCACTTTCTGCTCGCATTCATTCTATGGCGGATTTGCATCTAGTTGGATTTGAACAAAATTCAGATATTCATTCTCTTGGATATTAATGAGATTTAATTCTAAGTTCAGATCAAAACATTGAGTTGCTTGGAAGAATGGGCCTGGTTATGTGATAAAAGACAAAGAAAGTACTCATACCAATATTTTGATTAAAAAGCCTTATTTTCATAATTTATTGGAGTACTTTACCATTTGCAACCTTTCAAGAAGAAGTGTTGATCCCAGATCTCTCAATAACACTTATAATCTAGTTATGAATAACCAAATTATAATTATTTTATGAAGAAAGTTAAGAAGACTCAAAATTAATATATAAATATTAAAGAACAATTTGAGCTTCAAAGGTTTTACTTTATTGATAATAAAACGTAAAACACAAAGAGGACTTTTCACGTATGCACACTTTTTACAATAGACCTAATCGTCTATTTATACTAGTTAGCTAATGCTAAGATAACCAACTATTGCTACTTTYTAGCAAATATTCTAGCTAATAGATATTGTTTATCTTTTACATGGATAATC